CACACACACACACACACACACACACACACACACACACACACACACACACACACACATCCCAGCTCTACATTCCTTCACCATATGCGCGTTTGTCTCGTAAAGCCTATGATAAAGCATCCGCAGCGTTTAGGTCTGACTCTTGGGCTTGTAAATTTGAGTCTCTGTTGGTTGAAACTGTTTTTACTATAAGCAGAGAGACTCTTGTACCCCTCACTGGCACGTACCTATGCTGCTGGAGTAGTAGATCGCATGTTTCCTTAGTTTCCCAAGCAGCCCAGGGCGATGATATAATGATGTGGTGCTCAAGTCTAGCATATAATACCAGATTTAGTTCGTGGGGGAAAAATATATAGTGATTGGTTTTCCTTTTCTTTGACTATTGTATTTTTTGTATCCAAAAGAACCTGCATTTCGTATTCGGAACGACGTGCGCAGTTGAAGTTCTGAGGAGTGGGATAGTTTTGCCAACACCTGAATACCTCTGCTGGCAAAAACCAAAACAAAAAAGTCCCATTACTTTGAAAAAGACACACATTTGTGGATGCTTTTAACTTGGGAATGTAGCTGAAGGTGGACCTGAAACCTGATGTGTATTGCAGAAAATTTTCTTTTACTACTACAAAACTCGAGTCCAATACCCGACATCATCATGTACTGATATCCGCCAGCTTAAATGGACGCACATAAATTAAGAATACAAATTCTATTGATCATGACGGTGTACACTTTACCTCATATGCGTTTGAGATGTTTACAGTCTCCCCGTGCTCTGCCACATATCCAATGATACCTTTCCCCCATGGCACTTGCACTTCATTGGAGTTAAGAGTGCTAGATGATGGTCTGACTGTAGTGCCTGAGTGCACATCAAAGAACTTGGAAACCAGAGTCCTCTTGTGAGGGGGTCCTTCAACGAGGAAAAGCGAACACCTGTCTGCATCCACAAGAATGCAGACATTGATCAGGATTTTATAACTCAGATTTGTTAAGTCCAACTCGTTGGAGATATCTTTCACGAGCTCTAAGAAAAACTCCCTCTCGTTGGTTTCTTTAAGTCTGTATTTATAGTCAATGGCGCTGGATGCGTACTGAGGCACATTGACCCTGGACTCCAGCAGGGCGCTCAGGATGTGCGCGGTAGTCGGAGGCAGTGAACTGGCTTTACGCAGGAGCGCACGGCGCCTCATGCTGGACTGGGACTCGTGTTCGCTCAAGCTCACATGCTCGTCGTATGTCCAGTGTGCAGTGGTGGCTTTGGACCGAGCAAAGTTCCGTCGCAGCTCCATGTGGGACGATCTGCGCCGGAGTCCGTCAGCACTGGTCGGCCACAGTGGGTCCATGGCAGCGCCCCGCTTCTCCTCGACAGAGGACACTTTCGACGGCTGATGCTCCTTCAACCACCTGCTAACCTGGTCACATTTGGCTTTCCGAACGAGATACTCCTCGAACAGATCCGGGTGGCAATCCAAAAACGCCTCTATATCCGAGAAGTCAAACGCTGTCATAGTGAAAGCAGCTGTGAAGACCAAATGAGATTCTTAAATGTAACAGAGCAGGAGTTAGATGGGAGTGAGGGAGTGAGGCAGCTACATTCGAGCTTCACAGAGAAGTGATGATCTCAAAACATTTTTATATGCATTCCTAGTATGACCCAGTATAGTTCCCCTTGTTCTCCCCCAAAATACAGGCAGCAGAAGTGGTCAAATAAATTCACTTTTCACAAGAGACGAACTATACAGCTGTCCGTCAAACGAGAGATTGAGCTGTTTCTCTGGGGATTTCTGTAGAATAGTATGCAGAGGTGTGGAAAAACACAGCGCCTATTCTCCCCAGCAATAAAAAAAAGAAAAAAGAAAAGACAACTGCAGGGCAGTGTCTTTAGTGCCTCTCTTTATTCTATACCACCAGAGACACTCAGCTCACCATAAAGTCAGTGATGTTTCAGTTACATTTACAGGAAAAACGCTGTTTTTAATGTACATTTAAATAATGAAGCTGTTTGAACAGATGGGCAAAGTAAACATGCACATTGTATTTTAAATGTGATAGATAGATAGATAGATAGATAGATAGATAGATAGATAGATAGATAGATAGATAGATAGATAGATAGATAGATAGATAGATAGATAGATAGATAGATAGATAGATAGATAGTTAGATAGATAGATAGATAGATAGATAGATAGATAGATAGATAAGATAGATAGATAGATAGATAGATAGATAGATAGATAGATAGATAGATAGATAGATAGATAGATAGATAGATAGATAGATAGATAGAGCTCTGACTTGCTTTATGAACAGCTCTGAATAACTCAAGGGCACTTGCCTCCCAGCTAACAGAATGTGACTGAATAGTTGGAGAATGAAATGAAAACATTTAAATAAAATCTGTTAATTTACCACATTTTTTCCCCTAAGCAACTCTATGCAAATGAGGAAAAAATGGTGTAATTTTATTTAAAACAATTTTCATTGTACTGACAAATGCACCTATGTTACCTTGGAGTCTCACACACACACACACACACACATGCACACATGCCCACACACTGTGCTCTGTGATTGTGAAATGTGTGTGTGTGTGTGTGTGTGTGTGTGTGTGTGTGTGTGTGTGTGTGTGTGTGTGTGTGTGTGTGTGTGTGTGTTTCCTGAAACATGAAATTAAAGAAAAATTCTCCCGAGCTGTGAGCTTTGAAGTGTGAGTTCACAGGTTCATCTTTTTTTCTTTCATCCTTAGCTCACATGAAAGAAACATCATGAATGTCTTCATAAGTCCTTTCAGAAAGCTTATAGTCCGCCAACAAGACAAGAGCGGATTTGTAACTGGGCACTGAAGACGAGTGCAAGAGTCAGTGTGTGTGTGTGTCTGTCTTTCAACCATCAACACATTCTCTTTTTCAGCAGTTAGAAAGTAACATTTTTATTTATTTAGTTTTGTCGTTTTGCCTCTGTACACCACTAAATCTGATTTTAAGTCATTATCCATTTCCCACCGTGAAGTGTTGTTTGAGCAGGGAATATAGCCCCGTGCACTTCTCAATTAATCAGCAGCCACATCACCAATAAACACCAGTGACCCGGTTCAACTGGCAGCCATATATGCACATGCCACCATGTTTGTCAAACCATTAGCTGTTTCTTTCCTTCTCCATACTTCTCTTCTCCCATTATTCTAGTACAGTTTAGTCTTTGTTTCATTTGTCAGATAATGCAGCCTCCTTTATCTGGTTTTTGGCAAAGTCTAATTTTTTACCGAGTGTAAACAGTGGTTTGCATCTGGCTGTAAACCAATCTCTGTGTTTCCATTCATGAAGGCATTTCTTGGTTACAGACTTCCTCGCTTTTAACTTTGAACATTTTTAACTTTGTTAGATGTTATTAAGTTTTCTGGCTGTAATTCTGAGACCTTATCTGTTTGCACTGAAGCTGAATTTTGTTTGTGTGTGATTGTGCTGTGTTTGCAGGGTAAGATAGCTTAATAAAATTGCTAAAAGCAATATTACTACAACATAATTGGCACAGCAAAGCTGATGAGACCTGACAGTCTTTAGCTTCACTTGTGGCTTTCAGAGGTTAGAAGGTGAAGTTTAATTTCTGCTCTCCTTTAACAGGTTTTGACCAGTGAGGTTATTTTTTTTTTGAAGTCAGTCTTTTTCTGACAAAGTTGTATTTTTACTCAGTTGTATAAAGCATTTGTATTCTATTTTTATCCTATTGTATATTTTATTCTATTTATTCTACTGTATATAGTATTTTATTTTATTCTATTCTGTACAGTTGTGTACAGTATTTTATTCCTATTGTATTCTAATTTTTGCTATATAACTTTTGCACTGTCCACTTCCTGCTATGACAAAACGAATTTCCCACGTGTGGGACTAATAAAGGTTATCTTATCTTATCTTATCTTATCTTATCTTATCTTATCTTATCTTATCTTATCTTATCTTATCTTATCTTATCTTATCTTATCTTATCTTATCTTATCAACAAATGTCACATGATGACAGTGGTGAGCTAATTTTTCACAATGTGTCTGAAGTTCTTGGCATGAGAGCTACAGATAAGGCTGGTTTCCTGTTGTTGTTGCAAATCATCCACTAACTGTCAACTTCCATCTGCACAATAACCTAATATTAGGGAAAGCACTGCAGCTGCACATTTATAATGCAGCAGCGGGAACTATAATCCGGAGAGAGAGCGGCAGCTCTGCTGGGCCAGAGCAGGGTAATTGGTTACTGGACTTAGCTTATGCTGCTTGATAGGACTTGCATGTTTTGCTGAGACTTTGGACAAGGTCTCTTGAGAATCCCAATTAAAAAGCAGAATGCAGAATGGGTCTTGTGAGTTAACAAACAAGGTTTGCTGCTTGGAAAGCAGTCCAAATCGCGTTCAATAAAAGGCAGCCGCACGCATTGATTGAAAAACTGGTATTTTAATGCAATTTTCAGGTTTCTGGATTTAGTGTGTATTCTTCAATAAACTTCTTACTACTAGGCATAAAAAAGACCCTGCATGAATAATAGAGTGTTTGCAGTGGTTCAAGCCATTTTTGTTGTTTTATTTGAGAGCTGGTCTGGTCTGGAAAGGTCTCTCCCATAATTTTCACATATTAAGCAAATCTGGATCCAGTAACATCTGAATGGGAATCTAATGCCGTAGTGGCCTTTTGGTCACTGTGCATAAAGGCAGCGCATATCACAGCAGCTTTAAATGTAATATGCCTATGTTTTGTAGTTACTTATTTAGCCATAAATATTTTATGTTACATAATAAAGAAACATTTTCAGGGGTTTAATATCATAAATCTTGTTTTCAAATTAAAAACGAATGTAATTGTTTTGGGGACAAGTGTGAAAAGGAAAATTGAAGGATGATATCAATTTGCTATCATTACACAAGAAAGAGCTGGCTCAGCAGGAATAAAAGTTTTTCAATCACCTTTATTTCTTTAACAGGAAGTAAGTGCAGGAATTTACAAGGAAATACCACGTATATGGTAAAACAGCAGTGTGTACAATTCTAACAAGGCTGGCAGTGAATATTTGGTATAATCCAAACACAGCCTGGACTCTCTTAGGCAAAGTTTCATGTCATTTCTTTAAAGTCTTCAGAAATAGTTCCCCAGGCTTCTTGAAGGACATTCAAAGCTCCTCTTGGATGTTGGCTGCTTTTTTGTTTTGTTCTCTGTCAAAATGATCCCACACTGCTTCAATAATGTTGAGGTCTGAGCGCTGGGGAGGCCTTTCCATGACTCACAGTTTAATTGTGTGTTATTCCATCCAGGTATGCTTTTATTGCATTAACAGTGTGTTTGGCATCATTGTCATATTGAAAAAAGAAGCTGTTGCATAGTGGATGAAAATCTGTCTGTACTTTTCTGTGTTCATAATTCCATCAATTCCATCAAGTCCCCAACAACACTTCCTGAAATATTTCCCCAAACCATGATGGAGCCTCCACTGTGTTTTATACACAGTCACTGTGGTATCGCTCTCCTGATCTCCTCTGTACATATTGATAACAATTTGAACTTGAATCAAATCTTGATCCATCTAACCATCAAACTGGTTGACACAAATTTTCTGTGCAGTTCTTGTGTAATCTGACATACCTGAGCCTTTCCTTAAGAAAGCTTAATGACAGCCTCCCTTCCACTGAGCCCATTTCTTATAAGACAGTAGTTGAACCTAGTGAACAGTAGGTGGATCAAGGGCCAAATGCATCACTCAGATCCTGCCTGAGTCTTTGCTGGATATTTTTTTTCCTATTCCTTAAGGACATGAGATTCAGATACTGTTGCCTGTTATGTGTAGACATAACACTGGTTAATCCCCTCAGTGACTGAATAGGTCTGTGTTTAATGGCTTAATTTAACAATTAGACATTCCTCTGAAAACAATCAGGTACAAGGACTGGACTAAAAGTAAGTGAAAAAGCAGCTAATGTCCAAAGAAAATTTTTGAAAGAACTTTAGAGGTTTTCTCCAAAGCACTATCACTCAATAAAACTTAAAAAAAAGAAATAAAGAAATAAAGAAATACAAGAAACTATGAGGCACAGTTTGTAAAGTGAAACATGGAAAGTGAAAACAGGAAACTAAATATTTAGTTTCCTGTAACATTTAGATTTAACATTTAACATTTAGATTTAAATATAACATTTAGATTTAAATATAACATTTAGATTTAAATATAACATTTTGATTTAACTTTTAAAATTGTGTTTTAAATATGAAAAGTTACAAATATTTTACTAAATGTTGTAAAAAATGACTCGGGAAAAATCATGTTTTTGTAAGGTTTTGAGCTAAATGTGGAAAAATGTTGCTGTTAATTTCAGCATGTTTCACTTTACAAACGACGCCCCACACGTGTTACTTTTTGGCATGCCAACACTTACATTTGATGGACAGTTTGGGGGCATTCACTAATGCACATAATCTGGATCTATTTCAGTCTTTGTGTTGCGCAGGAATGAAATACGACTCCTGCAACCCAACACCAGTCGCACAGCTTGTATCTGGTGTCGGTGTGTGCTAGTCAGAGCCAGCTTCATTTTCTTTGCACCCATTCACTGAGCTGTGAATGCGTAATATTATCAGATCCACACTGGATGACTGGATGATGGGCGTTCTCAGCAGTGATTGTAAGTAATATTAGTAAATCAGTCGAGACTTGATTTTTGAACAATAACGCTTAAAGAACTGTAAAAATTATATCGCACTGGTCTTAGAGTAGTCAGTGTTTAGTTAGGTTAGTTTTACAGTTGCTTTTAAGTGACATCAGTACTACACACAGTGGGCTGGATTGGGTGTCGCTCACTCTGACCCTATTGTTTGTAACACTGTCACTCTGCCTGTCCCAGGAATTCAAACCCACCTCTTTGGTCAAAAGCAAAGAGGAGATCCTCCTGTTCAGTCAAAAAAAAAGGCTTTAAAATGTTCACCTTTATTTGAAACAAGACATTTGTGTGTTTATCACAGACAGATACTCGGAACTTCTCTGGACTTCCTTTATACCACTGTCCAGGTAAGTTAATATTACGAAAATAGTAATTTATATTAATTAATGATTAAACAGCAAGTATACTCTAGAAGATTAGTCGCTGTATATATAAAATACTGCACAAAAGTCTTAGGCCGCCCCTCACTTAATGTTTTTCTATGAAAATGGGAAATAAATCCAATGATATTTTTATTTCTTTAAGTAGCTGTCCAGGCTTCTTTGAGATTCAAAGCCTTTCTTTGGATGTTAGCTACTTTTTGTCCCATGGTTTGCAGATGGCTGGAAATTATCACTCCATAAGACCTGTTGCCAGGTTGTTGTTTTTTCCTTTTTTTCTTTTCTTTTTCAGGGGAGTTATTGTAGAATTTGCCGTACCTCAGCCTTCTTCTCCTTGTTTCCCTTCCTTAAGGAGGGCTTCTTGACAGCCACACTTCCACTGAGATCATTTCAGGACACTAAACAGATCAACCGAAAGGCCAGATGCATCTCTCGGGTCCTGTTTCAGGGCTTTCATGGATTTTTTCCCTTTTGCTTAAGGACCTAACTTGCAGATCCTGTTCATCTGATGTAGATTTTTTTTTTTTTTTTTTTTTGGGGGGGGGGGGGGGGAATCCCCTAGTGTTACTGCTGGCATTTTTCATAGATTCATCTAAAGACATAGAAACAAATGATAGCTACTAGCAATAAAGTGCCTAAAGATGCAATTAAATAATAGGTCTTGCTATTTCTTTCTATTTTCTTTTTTTTTTTTTTTTTTTTTTTTTTTTGTCTATGCTTTCTGACTATCCAGAGAAGTGAAACATTCGATTTTCTAATAAAGCCAGAAATAATTGCTTTGTAAAAAAAAATAAAAAAAAAAAAAGAAACTTTTACATTTTTTTCTAAAATATGTGTGTTTTCTTGCTTTTATGACAGATGGTCTAATAAATTTGTTAAGTACTGTTTCTCAAGCTAAACTTGTGTGCAATTACAAACATCGCCTCTTTGTCCTTCTATACTAGTGGGGGTTTTTAGGGCTTTATCCTTCCTTCACATTCACTGATTATGAGTCAGGTCTTCAGCAGCCACATGGAGCCTTCACTCACCAGTGGATTCGGGGCTGATTTAAATAGACATTATCCCTGCGGTTATGGAGGAACCATACCTGGGTGAGTGTGATGCTGGCTTCATTATGAGACAGTCTTAGAATTTATAATGTAATATATCAAATGTAGTATAATTATATAATTATTTCACCTTCACAGGAGTATCACCAATCAACGCTGTAACAGCAGTGATGGCAGAAACAAAAGTCATGTTCGACTTAATGACCAACTGTAAGTAGCTGCTGATTTTATATAAATATTATAATCAAAAACTTCCTCTTCCTGTGTTTGTGGTGATACATAATAACAGTGATGGTGGGGTTTTTTTGTGTTTTTTTTTTTACCAGAATACCAAAACCAACGGACATAAATATAGCGTGAGTACTCTTTCCATAATGATAAACTGATTTGTTTTTGCACATAGTTCGACCCTTTCTTGTCTTTGTGCCTTTCATAGGGAGAAAATGATAAAGATTGCCATCCCAAAAGAGCATCCCTATTCATCGCACATCTCTCGTTTTGCAATGTTCCCATCCTTCCACTCACCAGATGACCCACATACAGGCGTCAGAGCTGCGTCTCAATCTTTCCTCAACCTCAGTATCCCAAATAGTGCACCTGATATCACTCTGCTAAGCAAAACTAAAGGTGTGATATTCTGATAAAAGGGAGTGGTAGAATGGTTAGGTCTTTAAGATGCTTCTTTTTTCACACCTAGGTGCTCCATATAGACTTGAGAGCTTAGAAACACCACTGAAAACAAGGAAGAAGGCTGTTATGTGGACAGGAGAACATGGCTTTTTTGATGTGAGTGATGAAATATCAGTGACTTCACAGTTTCACTGACGTTAATCGAAGCATAAAGTGTCTTCCTCCTTCCACCAGCATGCAAAACCAGCAAAGGGAGAGAGCCAGGTTTTCTACCCCACTCCCCCAAAGATGGTGCTGCCCAACCTGAAACTTCGAGACTGGGATTTGACGCTATCGGAGAGGACAAGCAACATCCTGAAAAACATGGAGAAGACCCTTTGGGTCACTTCCTACCAAATGCACTACACAGGTAAGAAGTGAAAATACTGAAAAAATAAATCCTTGTTAAACAGAAAGTATCAAAAGTATTCAGTTCATCAGTTTTATCTATCAGGACATATCTTAATGACCTTGTAGTACCATATCACCCTATTAGAGCACTTCGCTCTCGCTCTGCAGGCATACTTGTTGTTCCTCGAGTATTTAAAAGTAGAATGGGAGGGAGAGCCTTCAGTTTTCAGGCCCCTCTTCTGTGGAACCAGCTTCCAGTTTGGATTCGGGAGACAGACACTATCTCTACTTTTAAGATTAGGCTTAAAACTTTCCTTTTTGCCAAAGCATATAGTTAGGGCTGGACCAGGTGACCCTGAATCCTCCCTTAGTTGTGCTGCAATAGACGTAGGCTGCCGGGGGATTCCCATGATGCATTGAGTTTTTCCTTTCCAGTCACCTTTCTCACTCACTATGTGTTAACAGACCTCTCTGCATTGAATCATATCTGTTATTAACCTCTGTCTCTCTTCCACAGCATGTCTTTTATCCTGTCTTCTTTCTCTCACCCCAACCGGTCGCAGCAGATGGCCCCGCCCCTCCCTGAGCCTGGTTCTGCCGGAGGTTTCTTCCTGTTAAAAGGGAGTTTTTCCTTCCCACTGTCGCCTAAGTGCTTGCTCATAGGGGGTCATATGATTGTTGGGTTTTTCTCTGTATCTATTATTGTACGATCTACTGTGCAATAAAAAGCACCTTGAGGTAACTGTTGTGATTTGGCGCTATATAAATAAAATTGAATTGAATTGAATTGATGAAAAATCTTTGTATCTTGTATTTAGCAGGTTCTAAATTATTCACATACAGCACATGAAATATTACACCGTGCTGTTATATATTTAACCAAAAAAAAGCCAAAATGCAGAAGCAATGAGGGGAAAAACTAAGTACACCCTGTGATTCAGTATCTGGTCAAGCACCTTTTAGCAACAGTACCTTGAAGTAATCATTTCTTTATGATTTTATCTCTCGCATCATTGTAGAGGAATCTTGGCCAAGTCTTCTTTACAATGTTGCATCAGTTAATCTGAGATTTTTGAAATTTCGTTTATACACAGCTATCTTAATGTCATGCCACAGCATTTCAATTAGGTTGAGGTCCAAATCAGCAGCCTTCCACCACTGGACCCAACAGTTGGTTTGATGTGTTCTTTTTAGAGAGATGAGGCTTTCATACTTGTTCAATCTTTCTGTTTCTCTGAGATCATTGTTGATGTCTTTTCTCACTGAGAAACACACACCTGAATGCTCCAGACCAGCAAACTGACAGGACTCGCAGAGGTTCTCACACTTACTGATGATCAATCAGTTGTTATTGTATTTTGTGCAGTAATCCAAAATCTGACATTAATGTGAAATCTTGTTTTAAGGATCAGGGCCAGCAAATCCTTTTATGACAGATGATTTCAAGGAAAAAATGACTAACTTTGCTGGGATTAATTCACACACGTCAAACCTGGTAAAAGCCATTGCATTTATTATACGGTAGCATTAACAGACCAGAACACTAATAAGTCTAATTATTTTCCCTGCAGCAAGAAAGGTCGCATCCTGTGTTTGTTCCTTCTAAAGCAAGGCAAGGATGTAGAAAAAGACTGGGGAGCAATGTCAGGAGGAGCAGCTGCAGTCCCACTGCTGCTGAACTCCAAAATACATCTCCAACTCTAAACCAAAGCACTGCCTCGCCTGCTGTGAACCAACCACAAGAGATCACAGCTATGCGTAATGAGGCACCAGATCTGAACCAAATGGGTCATACTCAATCAAAGTGCAGCACTAACTCCACAAAGGCACAGCAGACTGAGCTGTCCCAGGAGGTCTTACGCAAGCAGCAAGCTCAGTGCAAATGCTCTGCGCATAAGGGCAGAAAGAGGGAAAACTGCAAAGTCCAGTTTGACAATGTCATGCAAGGATCCCCGTCACAGAGCAACCAAGAGGCTAAAACTGCCCAGATCACAAACACAGAGCAACTCTGGGACCTGTCCAACCGCCTACATCCCCAAGGAGGGATAGAAGTCAACAGAGAGGAAAGCATCTGTGTAAAGGATGTGCTAAATGACAAAAAACCTTTTAAAGTTGGAAGAAATATACCCAGCTGTAGTCCACTACTTGAAGACAAAGACCAGACGGGCAGGGAATCACATCCCAAATTGTTACCAGGAGCAGAGGACAGAGAGCGGCTACATGGCAACTCTAATCCGTGCATCATGCCACGCTCTCCTGTCCTGCCAGGCAGTTCTTCCATTGGGACTGTGGGTAAATCAGGTGCAGCCCTGACCCTATTAGACCTTCAACATTCATTCAGCAAGTCAGAGGCTCATCGCAAGTTCAACAGCTCCATCACTCATGCCGCTGTGAACCTTAGAGACAACGTAGTCTGTGGGAAAAAACACAACTTCTATGGGATTAACTGCTACTACATCCATGGATGACCTTCCATCCAGCCATTTTTCCCACTTACCCAATTCAGAATTGCAAGGATGGATGGAGTTGTTCCCAGCTGTCAGAGGAGAAATGGCATGGTACACCCTGGACAGTTTACCACTCTCACATTTACACCTACAGACAATTAACCTAACCACATACACGTTTTTGGACTGTGGGAGGAAGCCTGAGGACGGGGAGAGCATACAAACTCCACACAGGAAGGCCCTGTCCAGCTGGTGGATTGAAACCCAGGGCCTTTGTGCTGTGAGGCAACAGTACTAACCACTGCAGCTCCCATATGGCCTTATAAACATAATTGTAACATCTCAGTAAAGCAATAGCAGTTCTAATAACCTGAATCCTGAAAGTAACTTAGTATTAAAATTTAAATGACTGCATGTATTTAACATTACTTAAGTGTGACTTTTCATAACCAAAGATGCAGTGGACAGTTTTTCAGAAGCATTATTGCACCTATAGAGCAATTTATCACAGGTTTCAATATAGGTTATTGTTACATAACACCCACATTAAAGACTTCTTGGCACAACTAAAAATGGACTTTCATGGACTGACCATAAGGAATACAGCCTATTTTGTGCAATCCCTCATATGACTATAGTCACATTTAAAGTTTCTCTGTAATTGTATAAGAATGCAATTTGTTTTTCTTTCAGACTGAAGCTAATTAGAATAAACATATTACTGCGAGCACAGTAAGTGTTTCATCCATGTCGGAAGCATTGTTAATTTGCTCTTTAGCTTCATACATTTCATTTGCATTAGAGCTCAGGATTTATTTTACAGTACTGGTCTCTTACAAGCTGTGGCTAATTGTATCAAGTAAAATAAAAGCAAAAGCCTTCAAAGCTCACTTCAGTGAGTTCAGCCAGCCTGCACAGTGCACACAGAAGCAATTCAGCTGTACCAGATTCATAATGCTGCACAGATGAATACTTTAGTCTTCCCTGTAACCTTTCCAATTTTGCAGAGAGAGAGAGAGAAAAATACGAGGCTGATTTTTCCAGCAAATGTAACACAGAGTGCAGCACAGAGCATTGTGCTGCCTGTGTTATGGAATCCAACTCTGTGTATTATAGGTGCCGCAGTAACCTTCCAGCGTGCCACTGTGAAAGGAAAAAAAAGGCTCTTTTGCACAAAATCTGTTGCAGTCAGGCTGACTTGTGTGAAATGATTTTTTTTATGACAGTATGTCCTTGAGGTGCAAGCCTGCAGCCTTCACTGATACAACAGCGTCTCATTCAGACTTTCACTGAAAAAGAATAATGGCTCACAAAGCAAAGTAGACACGCACAGTTTGCTGTTTAATAATGGAGACAATATCAGTTTGTCGACGGGATGGAAATAAAAATGATATGGCTTTTGTTGAGTTCTGTTTCTGTCTGCTGTCATAATTATGCAATAAGTCTATACTTAAATCACGTGAAATGAATTAAATGTATAGAAAAACGTACCTATTTACTCAACTGTTGTATGTTTGCATTTTAATCTGTTTGCAGACGCTTTGACTGTTTAACAGCACAGATGTGATTCAGCAGTGTATCCAGTAGGTGGCGGTATATGCTAACTTTTGTCGTTTGAACTTCATTTATCGCTTCTAATAACAGTCATTTAACCATTTTTGTGATATTTACTAATGTGAATAGTCAAATAAAATAAAATAAAATAAGTCAAATAAGATATTTATCCTCTAAGATCCACTATAACGCATTAATTAACAGGACTGCATGTAAAATATGAAGACTTCTACACTGTGTCCTTGCGCTTTGGGGACCTCCTCTACACGTCTATGCGTCACGGAAACATGTCAGTGATAGAAACGCCGCCCCTTTAAGTTGACGCCGAGCTTTGCTTTGCAGTTTAATTGGAGTTGGCCTCAGTCAGTCGCCTCTCATCTCCCTCCTCCGTACAGCGGTGGAGAGACTGATGCTTTTCAGCGCGGCTGGATGGTGCATGTGTGTACTTGTCATAGTAGAGTAGCCAGGCTGTTTGGTTGGGGCTCTAAATTGACTATCTCTTCTCCGGCTGTGGCCTTTCCTGTAGTTAAACATATGTTCACCGATCGTGTCCATCTGTAGCTCAAGGTGAGTGTGTTTTCTTTCTCTCTCTCTCTTCCAAGAAAAACTCTTTGGCCTTGTAATTTTCTCTTATGCAATGATGAATCTCAAACCCTCTGGAAGTTATTTGATTGATTATGATCTTTCAGCCGAACAAATCAGGTGCATGTGAATCTTTAGTTGTAATGTTCTTCGAAACACTTCAGCAGAGTCATCAAAGTTTAACAACCCATCGATAAACTGGATAAATGTAAAAGCGCTTGACCTTAAATTTATGTCCTATAGTTTAACAAGCAACTGGTATTTATATATTTATTTATTTGTTTATTTAAAGGTCTGGACATGAGACAATATGAACAACAATAGATCACTTTGGTCTCCAGACTCTTGAGTCTTCTACAAGTTATAAAAGATGGTCTGTTGTTTCTATGATAAACCTAATATGCAGTAGAACTCATTAGCTTCACAGGCGACAAGTCATAAGACAGGACTGTGAATAATGTGCCTTTATGACTGTGTGTATCTCTCATGCTGAGTGGATGTAGGTGTGTGTGATATCCATTTTCAGATTCAATCATGGCTGGAGCTCAGCATCTCCTGCTTAACAGATAGTGGTCAAAGCAAACAGGATTATGGAGGATTTTGCTTTGTTTCACATGTAATATTGAATATTTATGGTAGTTATCAGTGCACCCGAGCAGGATTCATAAATCCAGCTGAATAAGAGTGACTTATGGCACAACTTCACAGTGAAAAAAAATGTGACTCAAAGCTGTTTTGTCAGAGATCTATGTGGCTCATATACAGAGTAATTTTACAGCTAACACAAGGTCGCTCAGTTTTCTAGAGTCCTGTGTAAACAGTGCAACAGAGGAGGCTTTTCAAGTGTTGCTTGAACTGTGTTTGTTCAAACATGTATGGGGAAGGCCACTCAGAATTTCAGCATAAATGCACGCTGGCATGGGGTGGAGCAAAGGAGGTAGATAGTGTGCATGCTGCCACAGATTTGTACACAGTTAAGGAGAAAGTCAAGGTTATTCAGTGGAACATTGAGTTTTAATTTTATTTTTTTCTTAGAGACTGGCAATGTTGATTGTTGTGACACTAAATTCTTGAGGGCTTGGTAAGTTTCGGTGTATAAACTACTTCTCATTTTTCTGTCACAGCTGTGCTCACTGGGGACTATGGTTTGTTTGGTGGCCCATCTGTCTTTCCTGCAGCTCCTGAGGTTTTTTGCTCCTATCACGCCCAAGACAGTGATTGCAGTCAAACACAAAGAGACTGTGAGAGAGAAGAATCAATAGAATCTGTGGAATGCAACAGCGAGAAATAAAATAAAATTGCTTTGTCTGGGGGAAAACACATATAATCGCAGAGTTTCAAAAAGAAAACGTGGTTAAGGAGGATTTTCTAAATTTATTTTATTTTATTTAACTGGACATTTTGTACAGTAGAATATTTATTTTGAAAATCCTAAATAATAGGTGTGGTGCTTAATTTAATTTCATGGGTATAGCTAGTATCAGCAGTAAAGCACTGCATTTCATAAGGTGACCTCCAGCTCACAGTAATTTCACTGAATGTTTGAATGGGCCTATAATCTGTCAGATTCTACAGAATTCGTTCATTTTGGTGCTGAGTCTTTATATTGCATGGGCTGTTTCCAGTTTTTTAGGTAACCTGCTGTTGTGTTGTTTATAGTGTAACATCATATTGCAGAAAATTGCACAGCACCGATGGTCAGGCCAGCACATTGATATTTACCAGTCAATAATTTCCTTGCAATGATCAACAGAATTCAGATAGCAGAGGATGTATAGAGCTATCATTTTCGCACACTGGCTCATACACTGACCTGTGTGAAGTAGTTGTGGCTTCAGGGTGTACGTTACAAAAAACCCCAAACTTATTTGTAATAGCCGCTAACTGGCAGGTGAACAATGCAAAAAAAAGTGTCAACAAAGCAGCTGTTGTGAGTATGTGGCAGGTGTTTTTGCTATTTTTGCAGGGCCTGTAGGTCTACATAAATAATTCATGTGGTTTCATATCTAAAAATATACATGTGGTTTTAGGCCGGCACAAGAGAAGCTCCTCCTTTGAGCTGTAGTTTCTGTAGTTTTCAAATTCAACTTAAGGGTTTTTGTTTTGTTTTTGTTTGTTTTTCTGGTGGGGGGGGGGGGGGGGGGGGGGGGGGGGGGGGGAGTGACTTAATATAGAACTGAAGAAGCTTCTCGGATGAGAGGTGAAACGTCTTCAAGCAACTTAAAGAAGTCCAGACGCTTTTCTTTACAAGCTCCTTTGACTACGATGACCTGGATGACTGAGAACCTTCACAGACGTTTCTAAATAATAAAACCCTGCAACAGGCTGACGACTTTTCCTCTTGCCTTATGACAGCTGAGATAGCCTCCAGCTCCCAAACACAACCCTGAATTTGATAGCAGGATAGATGGATAAGATCATCACTCCCGCTGTTATGCAATTTGTCCATCTACTTTTTGTCCAAATTAGTAATGTAGTTTTTTAATAGCAGCTTGCTACTCTTGTCTTCAGCCTCCTCCAGGCATTGGAGAGACTGAAAGAAGCTCAGAGACTGGTTTCGTAACTCCCTCACAGACTGCCAGATATCTGCATGAAATTTTAACGAGGGCGGCACTAGTTGATACTTATTGATAAAAACCAATAAAGCACAGTGAGGGGGAAAAAACATGTTTTTTTCCAAACTCCTGCATATGGTAAATGGCCTGTATTTATATAGCGCTTTACTAGTCCCTAAGGACCCCAAAGCGCTTTACATATCCAGTCATCCACCCATTCACACACAGGTGATGGCAAGCTACATTGTAGCCACAGCCACCCTGGGGCGCACTGACAGAGGCGAGGCTGCCGGACACTGGCGCCACCGGGCCCTCTGACCACCACCAGTAGGCAACGGGTGAAGTGTCTTGCCCAAGGACACAATGACCGAGACTGTCCAAGCAGGGGCTCGAACCGGCAACCTTCCGATTACAAGGCGAACTCCCAACTCTTGAGCCACAATCGCCCGTCTACAATAGCGGTCTTTCTGTGGCATTTAAAACTGATCCGATACTGTCTTTAAGAATGACAGTTTTTATGTAACAGAACAGTTACTTCTGCTTTTCAAGTTCGAATCATATCAACAAATACCGACATAATAAAGCATGACAGTGTCATTTTATACAGTCACTTACCGCTTTATTAGGTACACCCTTCTAGTACAGGGTTGGGCCCCTGAGCTGCCTTAATTCTCATGGCATTGGTTCAACAATCCCCTGAAAACGTTCTTTAGAGATTTGGATTCATATTGACATGATAGCATCACACAATTGCTTCAGATTTGTGGGTGAAGGCCATCTGAGTACAGTGAACTCATCATCATGTTCAAAAAATCTGTTTTAGATGATCTGAGCTTTGTGACACGGCAGGATTCACCCCTGCATTTATGATGTTTACACCAAATTCTGACCCTACCATTCAAATTCTCACAGGGAAATCTAGACTCATCAGACCAGGCAATGTTTTTTTTCCAGTGTTGCCTGGTCTGATAAGTTTTAATTGCTGAGGAGATGCAAATTCTAGTCCTAGTTTCCTGTTCTTGGCAGCTCATTGTGGTATTCCTATGCTGTAGCCTGTCTGCTTCAGGGCTGAACATGGTGTGCATTTAGAGATGGTCTTCTTCATACCTTTGTTGTAACATTCTTCACTGATCTCCTGCATCATCAAAGCATTTTTACACAGATAACTATCGCTCACTGGGTAGTTTTTCTTTTTAGCATGATTCTCTATGAGCCTTTATGCCATCAACAACCATTCAAAGTCACTTAAATCACTTTTTCCCCAAATCTACACACATAAATGTGCTCCCATGTGATGGTCAACGAGTGCTGCAACAGATGTACCCAATAAAGTGGCTGGTTAGTGTGCATATTTGGTGGTAGTGCTCTGTTCTGAGACCACTCCCCATTTAAAGTCACTTAAATCACCTTTCTTCCTCATTTTGAACTTCAGGTCTTGTCTTTGTATCAACATGCCTAATTACACAGAGTTGCTGCCATGTGATCTGAGTAGTTGCAGTTGAACAGATGTACCTAATAAAGTGGTGAGCTGGTGCATAAGAATCTATCCCTGCTTATTTTCACAGCTGTAGATGAAGGTTCTGTTAATTTGTAGTTCTTTGCTTTGTCCTCACTGGTTGAAAAACCAGGATATTGTGAATTTTAAATAAGTAACATAACACTCCATATATATCGTGTCAGTCCATAAACTTTCAGAGGTGGTTCTCATCAACCATCTTCATAAACAATGATGAATCCGACTCTTTGATTTTGGATTCTTTGATCCTTGGACTTTTCAGTCTTATGACCTGGACATGCAGTGATGTTCCAGCTTCATCAGAGCTCCCATCATGTAGCGTCCTTGTCTGATGTAAATATAACCAGCTAAACATGTTCACAGCTGTATGCTGTGCTTTGTGGCTAAGTACTGCCTCACAGTCCTGTTTTGAGTGACTCGAATTCTTGTTGGCGTGATGTGACAGATTTCAAAATATGATAGTGGTTGAATTAATTCGGTACTGAAATTGGCAGTCTGTTCACATTTTTTAGTCAAGTGAACTTTTTAGATTTGGTGTGCAATATCAAGCAAGAAATATATTTACAGTTTTTCTCAGTCGCTTTGGTGCATTTCTCACAACAGAATTGAACTCTCCACCACTACTAAGGCACTTCTCAAAACAATTAGTGCAAACTGCAAAACATGGTGGATAACTTGCAAAAGTGAGTCACTCCATCAAAAAGAAAAGTCAGGTGTCCAAAATAAGTTGTCAATGCATCAACAACAAATCCCTTGAGCAAAACAGACAATACATTCATCAAAAGCAAGTACTGATACCAAACAAAGTGTCAGGGCTGTCACAATTACAAGTCAGTAGTCCAGCACCTTTGGTCACGAAATCACATGGTCTGAACATGTTCTCATTGTGACGGATGTCTTTGTAGGTGCTTCCC